GGGTTTATTAATTGACACCTGTGAGCTACCAACTAGTGATTTATCTCCGATTGTAGAGCAGCTCTCGTTTGCTATGAGTCGCTTGCTGTTTGCAGGGCTGTTCTTCATAATTATGAATATTGATCTCTCATGCTTAAAGTTCTGTTGAAGTCAAGGCAACATCCAGCAAGGAGGGATGGGGATAGTATGAAACAGCTATCACATTGCCTTTAAGGAACAAAATAATAATAATAATTAATAATAATCACTCTTCTTGATTAATTGCATCAAATCAGCTTGCAGATTTAATTTGAAATTGCACTTTGAAGCAATGAACACGGATGTCTGTGCATGGCGAGCGCCAGTGGAGGGGCAGCTGTGTGCCCGGGGGCTCCGGCCCATACTGGTTATACTGGGCGTTAGCATACAGGGGCCATCTGGAAGTACTGTAGTCATAGGCTAGGGAATGAGGGACTGAATGTTATGCTATGTCCAATTGCCCTGCCTTCGTCATGGCTTTAGGGGGGAGAAACAGGAGACGACTCTTTGAACAACACTCGCAGTATCTACAACGGGTTGTCAGCCGGCAGACTGGGTGAAAGTACGAAGCTCAGGGACTCAGTGGAAGGTGCTTTTGAGAAGGAGGGAAGTGGGCGGTTGCTTTGAGTGCCGATTCTGTACCACTTAGCAGATGCTATTCATCACTCCTTGTCCTCCCCCTAAATATAACTGCCATGTGCAATTCCGCCTCATTACCGGGCGATGCAGTACCCAGGGCTCACATTTCTTTTCCCCATAGGTTCATCTGAGGCATAAGGATGCAGGATTTTGTGGTGGGTCTATTGTCAATGAGAGATGGATTGTAACGGCAGCACACTGTCTGGAGCCTGGGGCAGAGATTACCGTGGTAGCAGGTAAGCAAAAAAAAAAAAAAAAAAAAGAGCCTTATCCCTGATGACTTTTATCTGAAGCACAGCAAATGCGACGGGAACTAGATAAAGCCCTTCCCTGCAATCAGGAGACCACATGTGCCATATTAAATCAGCATTCAAATCCCAGCAGACTGTTTTGCAGATGGAGCACAGTCCTCAGCAGGTAGGGAGCTTGAGTTTGCACAGGAGTAGGAATCACGTGGGCACATCCAAACCATGCACAAAGGCTCCTCCCCATTGCTTTTACTAGGAGCAACCACCATGCCTTGAAAGGGCTGGAGTCTGCTGGGCTTTGCAATTGTCACCGATAGTAAAAAAAAAAAAAAAAAAAAAAATAGAGGGAGGTCCAGAGCACAACTGCGTGCAAGTTGTCTCCACTGCAACGATGACAACGGAGCTACAAACAGTTTGCACCAGGGCCAAACGTGGCCCGCAGGAGATGATTAGGAATAGGTCGTTTGGTTTCTGCAGGACCCAAGGCACAAAATAATGGTCTCATTTTAGAAAGGCAGAAGTCCGCTTCACAAAAGCCACCAGTCGCTCAACTCAAGTCAACCTCACATCAGAAGCCAGAGCTGACATGGCCGTAAGCGTCCTTAAGCTAGGTCATGCTCCATCCTCAATAGGATCCGACTAGTGGCCTGTGCAATGAGGTATGTGGACCTCTTCACACATTGCCTCCAGTTAAAGACTGTACTTTTGTTCCTCTTGCTATCCAGCCTCAAATTTGCAGATCTCAGTAAAGTGTTCAGTGAAAAAAAACAAACTCATTGATTCATGCAACCCACTGGAATATTTCTGTACAGACAGCTCAAGGCTTTCCTTCAGCCCAGAATTTCCATTTTCTATGGAAGTTCAGTATTGAAGTGAAACTCTGAACTTGCATATTTCTGAAAAAGTCCCCAAGCACTTCAGACTACTCGAGTCTTGCTGGGAACTTTTTTTGGCAAGCATACGGTATTGCTCTGCAAAGCAGCTTGTCTCGGTATTTCTATGATTTTTTTTTCCCCTACCCACTGGGCTAGTATTGATTGCTTATTGTGCAACCCAGTTCAATCCAGAGCCCTGGAACCAAAGGTGAGAAATTTGGCAAGGGCTAAAATAGCTTTTCACGGTCAGTTCCCCCAAATTATTTATGCGGTAGGTCTAGTTCAGTAGCCAGCGTGTGGCATTCATACGGGTCCCACTTGCTAACTGTAGCCAAAAAGGGTGTGCGCGTGCATGACACGCACACTAAAACATGCCAAAAAAATTATTTAAAAAGTAATGATAAAAAATATATTATTTTTAATATTATAGAAACACACCAAAAATAAAAATGATATATTTAGATTCATAACTTAGTTTTAACCAGCTCTGAGATGAAGGATGAGAAGGGATTATCAAGACAGTGTTGGAGAAGAGCGCAATGGCTTGGGTTACTGCACGCATGCCTATCCTCCACTTGGATTTCTGCCGTGGTCCTTAATGTTGCATGGGGACAGATCATGGGGCGGGGGGAGTTGTGCCTGGGGAAGGGTGTGAACTGGTATCCCTCCGGAAGGGCTCATTCTTGCCCTGAACGGCATGCATTTGTGTGCACTTGTTGCAAATTTGCTCTCATTTCCAGCTCCGTCTCTTATTTCACCCCTCTTCAGTTAAGCCAGTTCTCCATACACAGCAGTAGCAGCAGTACAGCTGGGCTTTAATGAGAAACCTTTTATGGACAAGCATCAAGTAACAAGAGGAAACAACCGAGTGTATAGGTTCTCTCTGTGCCTGTTGAGTGGTGCCAAAAAAGACACACGCACATTGCACGTGTCCCACCTTCCATCGTGTGCCCCACCACCCAGGCTAAACACCCATGCTGCTGTTAAAACAACTGGGGTGTGAGGCTTGGAATAAATGGGCATTTAAGTTCCCCCTGCACAAAGGAGCAGCATTTCAGTTCCCCATCAACATTATTAAGCGACAGCCATAAGAAAAGCCCCTGTCCGCAGCAGCCTGCTTTTCACAGCTCAGAAACACAGCCATTCATTTCTCACATCCTGCTGCAAAGGAACTCATTCCCAAAGGTAGCGCAACGGCAGTGGCCCAATATCAGCCGTGCGGTACTTACCAAAGCTGCTGCAGCGGCTCTGATCAGACAGCAATATTAATAAGAACAAAAAAAAAAAAGCCAACACACCTCTCCTGTTGGAGTCTCTTCTGGTTTTCTCAAGGCAGGCTCAGCAAGAAGACAGGGCACCCTGAAGGCCAGCAGCACTGCAGCTATTATTTAGAGCTGTCTATATTCTGGAGGTGATAGCAGAGCTCTTCAAATGACTGAGACGAGGATTAAAACACACTCATCCCACTTGGGACTACGGGATAAAGAAGCTGCTTGTTGGTCACAGGTTGAAGTCATTTCTCAGGGCTGGCTCACCTGTTTCCTTGAAGGTTCAGCGTGATCGCAGTGGGAAAAGCTACTCTGCTCCTCCTGTCTTTGCAGGGGAGCTCAGCCTGTCTGACAAAACAGCTTCATTTGGCCTCACCAGATTAATTCTAATGCAAGAGAAGCAACCAGCTTGGTAAACTCTTCCCCTTCCCCTCCCTGTTCTTCTAAGAAAGGCAGTTGCTGGCAAGCGACCCAGCTGCACCACTGGGCAACAAACTGCCTGCAGCTGATTTGTATCTGGAGCAGCAAGGGCCTGTCCAGGTGCAGGGAATTTGGGGCACCCCTGAGAGCCGGCAAAGGCAGGCTTTGGATGCTAGATGTGAATGCTGAGCACTACAGAGTTAGTATGTATGGAGAGCTAGCTAATGCCATGGCCCAGCTGGAAGTGGGTGAAGTGTGTGATGGCACTGGGAAGAAGAGCGCGCTTGCAACCAAGGCGCACAGTCACACACAGCGCTGGCAGGGAAAACCTACCTCCACCGGGTTATTGTCCTGGCAAAGCACCCTTAGAAAGCCAAGCCTCTGCAATTGGGCAGCAAAATGTATAGGTGCTGGGCACAATGGGGTGTAGGTTGTAGCTGTGTTGGTCTTAGTACATGGGCAGACAAAGTTCTTTGGGTAAATCCGGTATCTTTTATTAGACCAACTCAAATAGTTGGAAAAATTCTTCTTTGCAAGCTTTCAAAGCTTGCAAAGAAGAATTTTTCCAACTATTTGAGCTTGCAAGCTTTCAAAAGCTTGAAAAGAAGAATTTTTCCAACTATTTGAGTTGGTCTAATAAAAGATACCAGATCTTCCCAAAGAACCAGGGCAGGGGGGCAGACTTGATGATCTACTTAAGTCCCTTCCGACCCTACATCTATGAACCTTATCTGGGCACAGCGGGTGAACTTTGGCAGGCGCTCACAGCCCAGTTATACACGTACCAGAAAGAAGACGGCATGCCACCTCCTCCAGAAACTCCAGCCTTGCTGTCACAGAAGGAGAATCCTTTTGCCCATCCCTTTACCCTTTGTGGGCCAGACATTGGGGATCTGGCTCTACTTCCAAGGAAAGCTAAATTGAGAGCCACGTACTTGAGTTCTGCATTCAGCAGCAATAAATCCACGTGACTCCTTTTGCAGAATCATGGTCCTGTTAATAGCCCTGGGTAGGAACAAGCTCCCGGGGTGGGATCTTGTGGCTATCCACCGAATCGGAGTGACACCGGCGGTGTCAATCGTATCTATGTCATCATCCGTTACCCTGAAGGCTGCTTGTAATGATCAAAAATTTAAAAAGCCGCCTGTTTTTTTTTCTTGCAGGTGAACACGATACCAAGGCTGAGGATGACACTGAGCAGCACCGGAAAGTAATAAACATCATTCCCCACCCCACCTACGATGCCAAGGTCAATAAGCACCATAATGACATTGCGCTGCTGGAGCTGGAGAGTCCCCTGCAGCTCAACAGTTACGTTACGCCCATCTGCATCGCAAGCAAGGACTTCACCAACAACCTCCTGAAGAACGGGATGGGCACCGTGAGCGGCTGGGGGAGCCTGCTGTTCCGCGGCCGGCCGGCCCAAGTCCTGCAGGTCCTGAAAGTGCCGTACGTCGACCGCTCAACGTGCCTGAAAAGCAGCTCGTTTTCCATCTTGCAGAACATGTTCTGTGCAGGTTACCCAGCAGGAGGGAAAGACACCTGCACGGGGGACAGTGGAGGCCCTTACGCTACAGACATAGAAGGGACCTGGTTTCTCACCGGAATAACCAGCTGGGGAGAGGACTGTGCGCAGAAGGGCAAATATGGGATCTACACCCGAGTGTCCCGATACGCCAAGTGGATTCAAAACACGACAAAGCTCCCTTAATCAACACAGACTTAGACACTGCCGCTGCTTCCCTCTGCATTGACTGACCGCTGGGGAATCCCGCAGTCCTAATTCAGTCCTTCTTGAATCATGACATTTTAACGCGCGGTGATAATTGAACTAATTTTTCTTTTTTTGAAGAACAAAGAATATCGAGAGCCCGGTGTATGCATGGGAGGGAGGGGTGGGGAGACAAAACTGCATTCATGATAAATACCCAAATCCTACCCTTCTTCATGAGCCTGTCACTGGGTTTGGCACGTTCGTCGTAGCAAAGGTCGGGATTTGGCTTCGAGCCCGCAGTATCATGAGCTCATTCAACAATTGAAAGAATATTACATTGCTCTCTGAAATGATCAGTCAGGAAGCTTGACCGTGGACCTCTTCCATGCAGTAGGCAATCTTTGGGAGAGATCAGCGACGTGTCAAAATTGGCGCGTGTGTGTGTAAAATGACCTGAAATCACGGACTTATTAAACTAGTATGAAAGTCACTGCAGGCTTCGCGATAATGATTTCTTCTGAGGCCCGTCGAGCTTATGAAAAGATAATTGTTTAGCATCCATCCCCGTGACACAACACTCTTCAGAGTGATCACATTTAATTAGCAAAGACACGCTCGCTTCCCCTGCCGCTGTCAATGGACACAGCTTTGGTGACTTCCTTGGAGCCAGGGAGACTTCAGGCCTGCAACCCCCCACTGTTGTTTCTAACATCTCACATGGTATTTCTGCTCAGGAAGTGCTTGCAAAGTGCTGCCATTTCAGAAGGGCACTGCCCCTGACACATCCAGTTTGCATTAGGGTTGGAGCCAGAGGCTAACTGCCTCTGCCTTTGGCCAAACTAGATTTTAAAAACCCAGGTTGAGCAGCTCCTTGGCTTTGGAGATGTAACAAGTCCACGGGCACCCGAGTTCCTGCAGATGCCTGAGGCTCTGCCAGCAGCACCTTGTTCTTGACAGTGCTGAGCATCTTGGCACCCAGGTCATACCTAAGCACCAGTAGGACTTGCAAACAAGGCTCTCCCTAGGGCAATCTTAGGGCACACCTAACCTACAAAGGACAGAAGAAGGAGCTGCAGCACTTTCCCCTCCTCCACCTTTATCGCTGGTTCACCCAGGATGGAGGACAGCTGGATTCAGTTCCCTTCACCTAACAGGTTTGCACCTACATCTTCTCCGTGCAGCCCCAGGTTGCATGGGGTGGGGGGGTGGGCAGGCACCTCTGAGGTGGACAGGAGACTTGCAATCCCTAAAAAGAGAAAGGGCTGAGTGTGACTGTACACCCTCCAGACCATGCCAGGACAAGAAATGTAAAACCTGCCAACACATCTCCACCACCCCCACAATTACAACACCCCACAACAGAACCGGCACCAGTCCTGGATCTTACACGTGCACCTCCAGAAATGTAATATCATCTCATCCAATGCACCAAATGCCCTATTGGAAGATACATAGGAGAGACCAAACAATAACTGTGCACCAGAATGGGCGCACACCGAAAATCCATCAAAGACAAGAATACCCAATGACCTGTGGGGGCACATTTCTCACAAGAAAGCCACTCTCTCCCCAATCTCTCAGTTCTAATCCCCAAAGGGATTTTACAAAACACCTTGCACAGACAAGCTTACGAACTTCACTTCATCAACCTACTGGATACAACAAATCATGGACTAAATGTAGACATTGGATTTATGCCACGCTATAACCTGCTTGACATCTGACTCCCCAAGTACCTCTCCACTATTTACCAGCCTCATTCATTCTCTCCTCCAACCCCCCAAACTCCTCAATTTACATCTTCATTGACTGCCTTTCTTGCCTGCAGACCAGCCTCTGGCTTCTTTACTATTCCTCCCATCCAGGAAGAGCACACAGCAACTTCAGATGCTTCCTCAGCCTGACAAAGGGTATCTGTATCCAAAAGCTTGCAAAGAAGAATTTTTCCAGCTATTTGAGTTGGTCTAATAAAAGATATCAGATTTACCCAAAGAACCTTGTCTGCCTATGTCCTTAGACCAACATGGCTACAACCTATACCAGTGCACACCCTCATGATTAGGGCACAATCTGGGAACAGGAGAGACTTGCTCCACTAAATAGCTCAGCACTTTCTTCCCAGGTGTGTATGATCCAGCTATTAAATCCTGCACCTTCCCACTCCACCTCTTGTCCCCAGACCAATGACCATGTGACATGTCAGGAACAGATCCAGCAGGAGGGTTTGAAAACTGTCCCTCACCCATTGATCTATAGCTCAGGGGCTTAGGACTCAAACACCTAACTCTAGGAGAGGGCTCAGTGCCATGAACCCCAAGTTGAACCCTCATGGTACAGCAAGTAAGTCCTAACTTCTCTCTTCTCTAAGTCCTAGAGAGAGGCAGGATTCAAACATCTGCCTAGTCTCTATCCTTCCTACTGACTGGTTTGGATGTGTACTGTGGAGGGAGTGTTGCTTTGCAACTTGAGTAGCATTCATTCAATTAGGCACCCAAAAACTTAGCTGCCTCTGCATTCGGTGCTGAAAAACCCACGTGAATCTGCCCTTTGCTGCCCATTCCACTACGGTTACCTCTAGGTATTTGAATGGGCAATGCCAGATGGTTCCAGGTGGCCTGGAAATTAATGGGATTTGAGCTCTGACTGTGATCAATGAGGCACCTACAAAATATAGGAATTGTATTTATTTCAAACAATTTAATAATAATTCACAAATCCAGCATTCTGTGACTTTTTTTATCTTTGCCTAGTTTTAGGCATTTGTATTTGTGCTTTGCCCCGAAGTTGTATGTGTTAACACTGGAAGCATTTAAAGGAAAAGCCACTGATGCCCTAAAATGACCCAAAACATTTCCCTTGAACTCTGATGACTTGAAGCACTGAACATTCAGCCATCTGAATGCTAAGTGCTGATTTTGGGTGGCAATTTCACACCACTGCTTTTGTGGCCTCCAGATACCCATTACTATTGTAAGGAAAACAGCATTAACTTCTTACCTGGAAAAAGTAGATCCATGCAGCTGATCAATGGGCACAGGAATAAGACCATACCTTGCTAAATGAGGCTACATGTTCGCATACACTCCAGAAAATCCAAGCCTGGGATTCGATTTTTGCCTGAACTCTTGAGTTGTTGCTAGTTACAAGAGCTAATTACAGCTCAGTACAGTCAGGGATTTTTTGGTATGACAGCACATTTCATAAAAAGATCATTTCTAGTCAAACTGTAAGCTGAAGAATTTGAAGCAAGATGAGATGCATCTAATAAAAGGTATCATCTCTGGACCCAGAGTTTTAGAGTTTTGCATTTGTATTTTGTCTCGCACCCACACCGCTGCCAAATACATCCCTGGTCATACCCTGTTCACTCCCTCTTTCCGCATCCGCTTTGCCACTGTGTGACACAGGAGAGTGGACCAGAGGGATCTATGGTCTGACCCAATAAATGGCAATATGTTCACCAGTCCCGCGGTGTATTTTGTGGATCCGCTGGCCCTACCCATGCCACTCCCTGCAGTTTTGCCCTGGGCAGACTCTGATAGTTTTGTGGACAGCAGTCACGCCTTGCAAAAACCAGGGTCCTGTAGGAGGTCTTATGGTCCCATTCATAGTACTCCACTGCCATAAGAGATGAAGGGATATTCTTGAAAGCTGAACTAAACAAAGGGTACAGAGACCGATACAGGGACACATCAAATTCTGGGTCTCTTACGTGTGTCCACAACTAATCGAGTTACTCTGAGCAATCGCATTTCCCAAACCCAAGGGTAGTGCAATAAATATACTGGGAAAAACTTTTGAAGTAGATAATTACTGGCTCCGGTCACCTCTGGTTTCCACTGAAACCCAATGAAGTGTATTACAATGGTAGATTTTGGCACTGGTCACTCCACATGCTGATGTCCTGGATTCATCGCTCAGTTCAGCTTTGGGAATAGATTCACAGCCCTCAGCAAATCCTGGGCCCATCAGGGGAACACTTCCTTGATCTGCAAGGCCACCTCCCTGCCTAGCTTCTTCCTTCCTTTCCAGAGGTAAAATAATAGGGAAGAAAACACCCACTGCTTTTTGCACATTGTTTCATTCACATTTCTGCCAAGGTCACTGCTGCAGTGAAAACCACTGGGAAAACATTGTGTGCACCTGTCTGACAACAGCAAGTATATGGCAATCCTGGCACTACACTGCCTGAGAAGCACGCCAAGGGAAGGTGGATAAATTGCTACCTGGCTCGCCCACCTTCGGCACTATTCAAAGGTGAGCTTGATTACTTACTTCTGAAACCAGGGTAAACCTGCGCGTTAAAATGGATGAAAAAGCAAATAGCCAGGAGGTAAACTCGACCCCCATACTACAGCAAAACTAAAATATTGCCTGTGAGCATGTTTATGCTGGTGTAAAAGGGGTGGGTGGGACTTAAGTGCTTGGGAGCATATGCTAACTGATCTCATGCAACTGTTCGGTGTGTCCTTTGTCCGTCTCTGCCCCAATTGAGCTAATTTTCATCTTATTTCTGGAGAGAACCAAAGTATTTGGGCAGGGGGTTGGACTAGATGTGACCTCCTGAGGTCTTTTCCAACCCTCATTTTCTGTGATTCTATCATTTTAATTTTTACCTTGCATGATTAGCAAGTGCCGTGGACATCAACACCAGTTACTAACTAGGCTCTAGTTTGGACCTGACCTAGATCTCAATTCAACGTCTTTAAAACCCACTGAAGTCAACAGGACGGAGCACGCACTCAAGTGTTTCCTTGAATCGGGGCCATCCATAGCACATACGGATACCGTGCAACCTTCAGTCCTCAACTCCTTACCCCTCCAGTGCTGGGTCTTTCTTAGCGACGAGTCAGGTGTGTCAAATTGTACAGCAGGATGGAGATACAGATCAATGCTCTTGAAGGACACTGAGATTTAGAGCAAGATTTGTAGTCTGCATTTGAGACTGCAGCAGGAAAAGTGAAATGCTTTTATCACCGGTTTATCTACCAGTAAGCAAATCAGATCTTTTCTGATGTCTATGCATACTATTTGCAGTCAGAACATGTACAATTAGGGTGGTTAGGAAGAAATGAAACGTAACTGCCTTTGTAAAGGCAAAGTGCAGAAGCTTTTAGGATAGAATTAAACATTCTCATATGAATTTCTTTATTTAACAATGTTTGAGTTTTA